CACAAGAGTCTCGGCACAGCATCACTGTTTGCTACAGTCCTTTCCAATATTTGCTTCCTCTGAGTTATAAGGTCCTTCTGTAGAGCTATTTTCTTCCTTTCATTCCTAACTTAAAAAAAAAGCTTGTTTTATGGGTTACTTGGTAAGTAGGTCAAAGCACACATTCTGATGTGGTATGTATTGCTTCCAAAATCCAGAGGGATCCAGCAAATATAATGTCTCTTGTTAGTGGAGTGCTTTCAACCATTTTTTTTTTGTTGTTGTTGTTGTTGCTCATAACACGCCAGCACAGACTTGCTGTGCTACAGAGAAAAGAGGTTTATTTTGGCTCCGGGTTCTGGGGGAGCTACACCTAGTGCCGGCCTTCTTGCTGGCCGCTCCTGAAGAGGGTGAAGGGCAGGCGTTACACAGCAAGAAGCAGAGAGTGTGCTGTGTCTAGGTGTCTGTCTGGTCCCCTCCCACTTTTTATACAGCCACCAAGAATTCAACTATGAGGCCCCAACCCAAGGGGGGCCTCCACACAAGGTGACCTGTACAGCCCTTACCTTGAGATACCACAGGTCGATTACGTTTCCACCCTCTCAGTGCGGATTAACACGTGAAGCCACAAGGAACAATCAAGCTGACACAGAGCCGTGGTCTAAGGGACAGCAATTTGGCTCTCACTTCTCAGGGGACATCCTGACAGTGGCCAGATCCCTGGACCGCCAGAAACGGCAATAAAGTGGCGAATTCCCTGCAGTGTATATATAGCCCACACTCGGGCACACATGTGTCTTATTAAGGCATCTCAAACACTTACTTTCTGTTCTCAGGTCCAATCATCCGAGGTGTCTTTAACACAGTGACCAAGGCGAGCTTACGTTACACCAGCAAGACTGTAAAGGTGAACTCATGCACTCCGTCCATACACATTAGAATGGCTTACAAATATTTGCTCCCCCAATAGACATATGCCAGACGCCCAGCTCCATGTTCATTTGTCAAAGTTATAGCACTAGCTGCAGTTGGCGCTGCTCTTGCTCGATTTAACAACAATTTGTAGCCGGAAGTCCTGCTACAGGCTGTACAGGACACACAGGTGAGTTAAATGAGGATATTTCATGGTACCCCATCCCCTGCATCCCCCACACATTTTATGGTGGTGCTGATGTCTACATTCGGTAGGACTCAGGATTACCCCCATTCTTCTAGACTCTGCTAACTATGGAGTGTGCGTCTTCCTGCTGTATAGTCAAGAATAGACCACATGTGTAACTACACGATAGGCCTGCTGTGATTTATACCTGAGTAAAAACTCCATGTGTCATCATTGCCATATGCCTGGATTTGATTGGCGGACCCAGGGTCGGGGGGAGGGAGTACTTGGAATGTCAGGAACCTACCAAGAGTTTAGAAAGTGCCAAATACTCCCTGAAATGTGTGGGCTTCTTTTTCCTAGTGCTAGCTAGGGTTCCCTGGACAATGACACCAGGTTCCTCGGAGGTGAATTTGTAGTGTATATCTATGGCAACATTTAGAGTCCCCCTGAAGGGGGCTAACTTCTTCATTCGAGGGGTTCTGTGTCTGTGACCTGGTTTAGTGTGGAGACTGGATGGGACGGAGTACTTCACTGTGATGATACAAGCCAGGTGTCAGGTGGCCGGCCCAGGGGTTTGCCTTCTGTAAAAATCAGGGGACACGTCAAAGTCTTCCCACATATTTAATTTCTAGGTTTGCCCAGGTCACCGTCAGATATCAGACTTGATAAGCACTGCTTGGTCTCTGCTGCCCATGTCATGTGTTCACGTATTTGTGTCAATTAAATGGTGTCATTTGGCTACGGCCACTCCAGCATCTCACTGTAGCAGGAATCAGGGCGTTAACTCAATGGAAGCACCCCCCCCTCTACACACACACACCCCATCTACACCTGTTACAGAGTTTTTCTGTCGCTGCTCTCACTGCTGGATTATACAGCACCTTCGTGTAAAGACACACGTGTAAAGATGCCTTAACATGTAAGTCCAGGCTCCCTGGAAAGGCACTAGTGTTAATTAGTTTAGCCTAGGTTTTCTTTTTATTAGGTACTCAGCCAGTTCAAATTTCACAACATCTTGCCTATGATAAGACCATTAATTGTGTGTGTGTGTGTGTGTGTGTGTGTGTGTACATCTGCATGCCAAGGTACACATGCCGTTTGAAGGACAACTTTGCAGTTGGTCCTTCCCTTCTACCTTGTTTCTGAGGTAGGACCCATTGTTTCTGTGTGGTGTGTCCCAGGCTAGCTGCCCCATTCCCCCAGTCCTCACCTCCCTTGCCGTGGCCCTTCTGGGATTACAGATGCATGCATGCCGCCATCACATCTGGTTTATTCTATGGGTTCAGGGGATCAAGCCTGATGGTTGTCAGGCTTGCAAGGAGAGAGCCATTTCCATGGCTGTTTTTATGTTTTTTTTGTTTGGAGACGGGGTCAGGCTGGCTTTAAACTTGATGTAGCTGAGGATGACCTTGAACTCCCGAACTAGTCTACAGTTCTGAGATGGTGGACATTCTGATTTTGACATTTGAGTTGCTGAAACTGCACATTCAGATTGCTCTGCGTTGGTAGTGCTCTCAGCCACAATGTATCCACAGTGTTACTGTTTTGTCTGCTGGTAGGGTTGAGCGGTATGTATCATTTACCTGTTGAAATATTGCAGCAACTGTATCTTTCCATTTGTTTTTTTCATTCATTACCTAATTAGGGCAGGATATTGAATTTTAAAACAAATCTGTGTAAGTAGATAGTATTATGTTTGAATTTCAATTCAGGACAGTGAAGGCAATGTTAAAAGCACTACTTACTATTTCTGTAAGAGAAAGTGTCTCCTAGGGTTATGATCCGCTTCCTTCCAACGACAGCCTGCTGTGGCAGCACACGCTTGGGATGTAAAATAGGATTGAGAGTTCAAGGCCAGACTGCCAGGAATATAGCAAGACACTGTCTCAGAAAGAGAGGGGGCAAGTGGGTGGCTGGGGACTGAGTCTGACTCAAGAACTCATGTGTATGCATACCTATGATGACCCAAAGCAGAGCTTGAGTGAATCTGTCAAATGACGTAATTTGTTATCTCCTTTTTAGAAATAGGGTCATATTTAGTTGGGGAATTCCCTGTCCTATTTACTTACAGCATGGAGGCGCCTCATCTACACCCAGTCTGTGGACCTGCAGCATGGGAGGGCCTCATACACACCGCAGGCAACCTGAGCTGTGTTTGAGAAGGGTCTTGGAACAATGGCTTTGTGGGGGGAGTGTGTCCGCTTATCACTGGTGGCCAAGGAAGGGGACCCAGGAGGGTGCTTCCTCGGGTCCCCCTTTCTGCATGAGTTGAACCACAATCTCTGGGGCGGATAATAGTAGCTCTGGGATTTAGCGGCTCACCAGCCAGAGCGGGTGGATGATAGGCAAGGATGCTAAGCCACGCCTCTCACTCCCTTTCCCCACCAAGTCTTTGGTGAGGCACTGCCAATGGGGAGGAAGAGTCTACAGCTGGCTTGTGAGGGACTGCAGAGCAGGCATTTGATCATCTCCCAGGCACACTAGCTAGCTCTACTTTGTTGTTCAGCAGCCCTGAAGGCTTGCTTCATGGCCTGCTAGGGGCACCTATGGTTCCCTGGGAGTGCACCACCTCTCACTTCCCTGCTTAACTTCTTCCTCCAGATCTCAGCTTTCCCCCTCTCTGAGGGACGCCTGCCCTTATCCACCAGTCTGCTCTGGTCTTTTCCTTCATAAGTATCTCTCCTCATGATCCTTTATTTCAGTTTGAAATTATATCAATCAGCAATAACTATCTGGTTTTATGTGAGTGTTTTACTTGGGGTTTCTATTGTTGTGATTTAAAAAAAAATGACCAAATACAATTTGGGGAAGGAAGGGTTTATTTCTGCTTACACTTCCACATCACTGAAGGAAGCCAGGGCAGGAACCTCAGGCAGGAACCTGGAGGCAGGAACTGAAGGCCATGAAGGGAAGTGCTACTTACAGACTTGGCTTCTCATGGCTTGCACAGTTTGCTTTCTTATACACCCAGGACCACCCACCCAGGGGTGGCATCACTCACAATGAGCCGAGCCTTCTCACACTAATCAAGAAAATGCCCCAGCACCTTGCCCACGGGTCAGTGTGGTGAGAGCATTTTCTTAACAGAGGTTCCCTCTTCTCAAATGACTATAGTCTGTGTCAAGCTGAGGTAAACACTAGCCAGCCCAGTATCTTAATTGCGCATGCCCCATTTTTTCCCCCCATACCTAGCCACTGCCTGAATTAATAAGTATTTCCCCAGATCTCAGAAGTACTTACTACGGATTGCTACCACTGTATTAGAAACCCAGGCTGCTGGACAGCTGCGTTCTGTCTGGGGGTGGGGTGGAGCATAGCAATTTACGAACTTGTAGGACTTGAATTCAGCCAGGACTGTGCAGCAACTTAGAACTGTTTTTTTTTTTTTTCTTCCCTTCGTGTCACTCACCTCCAGCCCCAAGCCCAGGTTATCATTCTAGTTTAGCTAGGAGCTGGCTCCTGTCCCTCTAGTCTCTGTGTGTTAGAGAAATAACTGGAATCATGAGCCCAGGGCCTCCTTTATGTTAAACAAAGAGACCATCCTCCGTGTGGCCGGGTGGCCGAAATTTGGAGCCGCTGGGGGGCAATCCGATGAGGGAAGAGGTTGAGGGAAAGGGGTGTGTGTGACGCAGCCTCCAGGGTGAAAGTTGGTGGCGCCGGGAGCGGCAAGCTTTCTGGGCCCCTGGGGTGTGTCTGCGAGGGCTTGCCCATCAGTCGCGTGCGCGTGGGTGGGATCGCTGGGGAGGGTCGCCGTCAGCCGCCCTCACTCTCTCACCCATCCACCCACCCACCCACCACCGACCGCGGGCTTCTGGCCGGGCCGGGTGCAGGCAGGTGCGGGAGGGCGCCGGGGGCCCGCGGGGCTGCGAGGAGCCGCTGCGGGCGGCAGGAGGCAGCGTCGGCCCGGGCGGCGCGAGGCAGCGCGCGGTGATGTCAGTGGCGGCCCAGCTGGCAGCGGCCGGCACTTCCTGTATAAAGGCGGGCGGGCCGGGCTGCGACTCCCGCGAGCCGGGGTTGGGCTCTGGGCGGCTGGCGGCGGCGGCGGAGCCGTGGGAGGGCTGTCACCTTGGGGAGCCGGGCTCCTGGCGGCTTCCCCCGGGCCGTGCCTTCCGTTCCCCGTCCCCGGCTCCCGGCGTGACATCGGCGGAGCGGAGAGCTGGATGTGCGCGCGCGCGCGCGTGCGGGAGCGGAAGAATGGCAGTGCTCAAACTCTGCGACCAGGTAGGGGCGCGGGGCGCGGAGCGCGGAGAAGGGGGCGCGGCGGGCGCGGAGCGGAGCCGGAGCGCGCCCGGAGCTGTTTACGCGCAGCCCGGAGCGTGCACGGCCGGCCGCGGGGGCTCAGCTCCCGCGCAGTCTCCGCCCTGGGCCGCCGTCGCAAGTGCGCGTTCGCTGGCTGGAGAGGGTCGGCGGGGTGCGGGAGTGGCCGCCGCCGCCGCGCGCGGGGGGACGCGGGCCGCCGCTGCACCGGGGGAGGGGGAGCCGAGCTCCGGGCCGCGCTGCGCACTCGGGAGCAGTCAGCCTGGGGTTGCCCCGGGGAAGGCTGTCTGCGGGGTCAGGAGGAGGAAGGTGGACGTCGGGAGAGAGGCTCGCGGCTCCGGACCTCTCCCGCGCCGGGCAAGAGACTGGCCCGCTCCCCGCTCCGGTGCGGTCGGTTGTCTTCATCCGTTGCATAGGACACCCCGACTTCCTCTTTAGCTGCCCAGCGGCTGGGTGTGGGGTGCGGGATGGGGTTGCTGAGAGCTGAGAGACGCTGCGCGCTCGGCTTCGATCTCCCAGTAGGAGGTGAAGTCAGGTCTCAGGGTGAGCTTGCAGACCTTGCTGGTGCCCGATATCAGCTTTGTTGCTTTGCTGGCTGAGACATCACACCGGGCAGCCCTGAAGTTCTGCTCGAAGCAATGGAATTATTTGTTGAATCCCATTGACAGCCCTTGCTACACGTCTGGATACTGACACTCATGGAAGCCCAAGCAAGTTGTGAGACGAAACACACACAAAAAACAAAACACTAACAAAAAAACCCAAACCTCTTTCCAGCTCTTTCCATGAAAAAGGAGGAAAGACCATACTCCTCCAGGCCCGGGTATATTCATCCCCAGTGAAATGAACATTGTTTTGGGGGCCTGATAATGGAGGCTGTCTTGACTTGGACACATGGCGCCTGCCATTAAACACCTCGAACTTTTAAAGAGGTGCCTCGCTAGTTAGCATCCAGCCTGAATGCCCTGCATCTTAAATACAGCCCATTGCAGCAGCGACCTACGGTGATTTGTTTGGCCCGTTAGTCCGAATTTACTTCAGCATTTACAGCCCCCCTTCCCCTCCCCTCCCCCGCCCCATTCAGAAGTCACCGAGTTAAAAACTCTAGTTAAATTTAGCAGGGAGAGCAGCTGTGGATTGTGACGAACCTGCCCCTCCTCATTGGCTCCTGAGCATTGAAAGTGCTTGTAAATTGATATTAGGATTTCCTCTAGCCTTTGTTCACAATTTTGGCCAAATGTCGAAGACAGTGGCTTGTTTTAAGTCCTGCGTTGTGTTGAGTCCGGGTCCTGTCGACGGCGTTGATGGTACCCATTCCTATGCTTTGTTCCTTCCTAAATAATGTGGTTCTAGTAAGCATTGTTATGTTACCTAGTAAAGAATTTCATGGAGAGTTTTGCTTGTAAAGATACAAACCACCCATCCTGAATCCCTTATCTTCTAAGTAGAAATGCTGACCTGGAGAAGCAAGCAAGGCTTCCTCAAGACCCTCAGCCGTTGGCTGGTGGTGTCCCCTCCCAGGCTCCTCCAGCCCCAGCAGGCTTGAGGCCTAGAGATACCTCTTCCCTTTTGGCAGATGTGTTGAAGTGGGACAGGAGAAAGCTCTCTCTCCTAAAGCACATTAGCCCTGGTGAGGTGTGGGATGCTGGCCTCATCGGCACAGGGATGTCAGGATGTCAGAGCAGGGCTTTCAAAGACGTTGGTCTTTGAAAGTGTTTCTAAATACACCCCCTTTGTTCCCCCCAGTCAACTACAATTGCCACCAGGGAGAAAGAGGTGTAACTTCCATTGGACTCGTCTCCTGACATAGAGGAAGATCCAAGGCGTTCTGTGACTCAAAAACACCTTAACCCACCAGTCTGTTTGGGGACAAAGCCAGAGGAAGACTGGGTGGGGTGGAGGTAGGGCGGGGTGGGTGCCGTGGTGAGAAAAGATGGTTTCTGGGTTTCTTTAGGCCCAGGAAGTATGTTTCTCCGACCTTATATAGACTTGCTCTTGGTCTGAAGCTTACTTCTTAGAAGTTGGTTCGTGTCCTCGTCTACTCGGGCTGACGACCCTTTGTTTAAGCTCCTGCTGCGAAGATCTCTGCTCTGTGGATGGAGAGCCAGCACCGGTGTGGAATCCCTGCTTCAGTTTGTAGTGGGGCAGCCTGCTCTCTCCAGAGGGACGCTGTCACCATTGCAGCCACACTCTCCCTGGTCCCTTCCATGCCCGTTTGTAAGGCGAATCTCGACCTTTGGCGACAGCTCTTTGCCTTTTGGTTTGAGGACACATTCTTGCCGCTGATAGCTTGAATCGTCTTGGTTTGCTTTTGGATGTAGTTGAAGTGAGACATGATCACCAATGACATTTTCTGTCCTACAAAACACTGAAGGCTGGAACTGGCTGGGTGGCCAATCCTGCAGTGACCTCTGAGTCAAGCAAGAGAAGGGATGTGTCTAACTGTTTTGGGAAAACTAAAAAGTAAGGGGGGGGGGGAGAAGCTGCTGTGGTTTTTGGTCTTCTGCTGTGAAAAGGAACTTGGAGCTATTGCTACAAACAAGCTTGACACTTAGTACTTCTGCATTTGAAAGGCTGCCCTTTGTCATTTTTTTTTTTCTGACAGTATTTTGGGACCATTTTAGTTTGCCCAGGACTGAGGGGGGTTTCCCAGCATGTGGTGGTAAAGCTGGGACAATTCCTAGCGATTGGAGGAGGTGGTTGGTCACCCTCTGCAACATGGTTATTTAGCTACATAATTAATATAGTAATATAACCATTTCCTCATAGGTGGACATTAAGACATGTGTTTACATCTTGGGAGAACTGGGTTAATCATAAGGTTGAAGAAGGTTTCATCACATGCAAATGCAATGTGTTTAGCTTAAAATAGTCATGCAGCCTTTTGTAGTTGGATTTTATACTCGAACTTTTATATGGAACTTTGTAGAGTGATTTTTTTTTTTTTTTAATGTATACAGGTAAAGGACTGGAGAGATTTTAGTGTAGGGCAACATCAGCCTGTCTCTTCAGAGTTCCAAAGCCAGGCGGGCGGGCGGCGTCCTTGTCCATGAAAGGTCTGCTTTTCTAACGTGAGTTTGCTAAGGACAGCGGAACTGCTCCTTTCGTGAAGAGCCCGGTAGACGAACTGCTTCAGTACTTGGCTCTCGTGGGGCTTCCCGCCTGGAGGCCTTCTGGTTTAGCGTCTCCTCGCCAAGTCCAAGCTCACACTCCAGTCACCCACCTCCTTGCCAAAGGCACTGTCTGGCAGCTGTGGCCGGAGACTAGAAATTCTGAAGCTTTGGAAGCAGGATTTCTGGCCACAGTGTGGGGCCTTTGGACTTGTTTTTATCAGGGCGTCCTGTGTTTTCAGGCACCTCTCTGCACTGGTCTGCAAGCCAACACTGTGCATCCCCTACAGGGAAGAAGGAGGGAAAGAACAGATTTGACTTTTGGACTGTGTTCTGGTTGTTTGTGACCCAGTGATATGGTTTTGGGAGTGTACCTGATGGCTGGCATTTCATGGCTTGTCCTCAATAGTGACTTACATCGATTGTGCTCTTCTTGTATGCTGGGCCTTTGCGGTGAATCATCTCTCTTAATCCTCATAGTCACACTCGGTAGATGATGGTGTCACTCCCACTTTATAGATGAGGAAACAGGACCAGGGATGTTGATTGACTTGTTCAGGTCACACACCCAGAGAGTGGCTGAGCACAGTGTCCTCCCCGGGCAGTCTGATTGCAGAGGAGGGGCCCTGATCACAAGGCTGTACTTTTCATAGTTGAAAAGGCAGCAGCAGCAGGCACAGAGCTCATGTCTCATCTCTCATTTCTGGGGAAGCTCCGGGGAGGCAGCATTATCCACACTCCTGTGCATGGGGTCAGACCCACCTCTGTCGGTGGGAACCTGCTCTGAGGCTTCTGCACGTGCTGTCTCTACCTGGCATGTCCATTAACCCTGCCACCTCCGCACCCAGCCAGTGATGTGTTGGTAACATGCTGATTCTTTTCTTGATTATTTATTTTTAACACGGGAACCTATAATCATCTGCAACGTTGGGCCACCTTAGGAAATCAGAAAGCTGGATCAGCAAATGAAGAGTTTAACGCCTCTGCACTCAGTGGAAATCACTCCTTTCGGCATCTTGATACGCTTCCTTTAAGGTTATGTTTGGCCAGGTATAGACTTTGACTTCCTGTGAGATGATATCAGTATCTTCCATCATGGACATCGCTGATATCTGTTTTCTAGACCAAGGACTTTTTAAAATAAATACTTAACTGTCTGCGTCAGGATAAATGAAAGTCCCACCCAGAATAGACAGAGCTCCTTTTCTTAAGAACACGTTCGGTTTCACTTCTGTTATTCTAAGTAGAAAGTAAACATAAACTCCAAAAGGCACAGTTCTTATCCAAGACATAGAGCTGAAACATCCTGAAAAAGGTTTATGTTTCAGCAACATAAATGTGATGTATTAACATATATTTACAATGTAATGCTAAATTACTTTAAAAAGTTATAATTAGCATCAATTCTTTATTTTTTTTTTACATTTAAAACCTTTTAGGTTTTCTTTTGGTGCGCGCGCCTGCGCGTGTGTGTGTGTGTGTGTGTGTGTGTGTGTGTGTGTGTGTGTGTGTATTGTGTTCCTGTGTAGGTGGAGGTCAGAGAACAACCTGTGGGTGTCTCTTCTTTCCTTCCATCATGTGGCTTTTGAGCATCAAACTTAGGTTATCAGGCTTGGTGCTTTTTGGGTACTGGCCAGCCAGCCAGCCCCGAGTACATTCCTATGAGCCTGGCATCTGATAATGCTGCGCTTTTCAAACTGGTTTAAGATCTGGTACTTACAGGGCCAGTGAGATAGTCCTGTGGGTAAAGCCTCTTGTTGCAGAAGGCTGACAATTTGACTTAGATCCCTGGACCCCATGCCATGCAAAGACAGAAGGAGAAAACCAACTGTACAGAAGTGTCCCTGATTGCCA